TTCCCTTTTTGTATTTTCTCCTCCTTCCTTCATGCTGAATGAAGCCCACAGAGATGCAGGAGGAGGAAGCGGCGAAGGAGGAGGAGGAGGAGGAGGAAGAGGGGGGGAGAGATACCACACCAAATGAGTGGCTTAGAGAATGAGGGAGTCATGTTTCTTTGTTCCAAAGAGATGCCTGACTGGGTGAGGAACTGTGCAAAAGATGTGCTAGTGGGTAGATGTAGTGGATTTTAGTGTGTGTGTGTGTGTCTATATGTCTGTGATGTCTATGAGAAATATAGACGAGGTTTCATGGCACAGCATTGAGTATGGCCTTAAAGTTGCCTTTCTGTTTCAGTCTGAAGCTCTTTCTTCATTGAGTCAGTCCCATGTTAAAATGACCAAATGTAGTTGTGCATTTGGTCAAAGTGAATGTTGCATTTAGATCACTGGTTGAAAACTGTAAGGTTGCAATGATTGTAACACATTAAAAAAACATGGGCAAAATATAACACATGCATAATCACTAATCATGATTTGGACCATAAACAACAAAAATAAACTCTTACTTTGACTAGGATGGAGGCCTTGTGCTCATAACCAACATGAGCACAGGACCAGTTAACTTGTATTATATTTTTAGGATAATTATAAGTTATGTACACCATTGTACAATTGCTATTGGTCCTATATTTACAGATATGCTTGTTATACCAGCATGCAAAATGTGCTCTTAAAGTAACATGCCAGTAGTGTCCCTGCAGCTAACGACAAGAACGAAGCGATTTCCTCTTTATCTGCCAGTTTACCCCTTAACTGTAAAAAGGCTGATTTTTCGAATTAATACTAGGGCTGTGCGATATGACCAAAATCTCATATCCCGATATAAAACATCTATCGTCCGATAACGATATAAATCACAAAAATTTAACATTTTCTGTAAATTCTGTGAATCTCGGGTAACTGAAGTGTTTCCAGCTGGGCGTCGTGGATCTGGAGTCGAGTGTTTTACCGATGCATGAAACAATACATTTTTAGACAGGTTGTAACGGCTGCCGTTTTCTTTGCAGCGTGCTGCAGGGAAAAGCCTGTTCTAACGTTTGAGTCTAAGGTTTATTTTTTAGCACTTGGCGGCTCTTTTTTGCTTCTCATCGGTAAATACTTTGCATACTATTTCACGTGATTCAGTTTATTTTGAAAAGTCTCAACAGGATCTTGAGCTTTATTGTGAAACGTTTATGTGGAAAATAAACAAGCGGACACGTGATGGTTTTACCATCGTTGTTGCTAACGACAACGCATAAAAACAGGCGCTTGTCTGTCCATAGTGTGGTTATATAAAATATAAGAGAAAGAGAGAACTTTAAGAAATTAATATAGCCACTACAGTGACCATCAAAACAATGAAAAAATATTGCCGTTAACAGTTTGTTTTGCGACACCACAAAACAAACGATAGTGTAAAATGAAACGATAGACGTTTTTATATCGTCATCCGATATATATCGTTATATCGAACAGCCCTAATTAATACTAGTAAATATGTCAGATGAGTTCGAATCTCAGTGAAGTCGGGGTCAGAGGTCAAGTTTTTTGAAAATCTTGTGAACACAATAAGTCGCGAAGGTAGTCCCCTAGGATTTGGTGTAGAACTGTGTCAGTATTTTTTAATTCACGCACTGATGTTTTGTGTATAACATTTAAAATAACCATTATTATTATTATTATTATTATTATTATTATTATTATTATTAGTTTATGTGTTAGCACTCAATCACCAATCACAGTGGTTAGCTGGTTAGCTGACACAAATATGACCAGTTCTTGTTCAGAGAAAAAAAACAGCTGTGATCAAGATACCAAGACCATCTTTTATATATAGTTATTTGTCACTGTGATTAAATGGAAAACAGATTTCGATAAAATGCATGTGTGTGAGAGAATGTGATGAATTTTGCTAATTGGCGCTTGGTTGGAAATGTCACTTTCTCCACACAGCCTCACATGTATCGATTGAGAGCTGCGTCTCTATGGGCTCTCATTGTCAATGCTGTGACATGGAATATCTCTGACCTTTCAGTGCAGCAATAGTCTTCAGATGTCCTTCCCAGTCTGTGCACATACATATACAGTGTCGGTGTAAAGTCACACACATGTGTAATTAACATTTGCACAATGCACAACTTAAAATTCAGTAAATCTCAAAGCAGAAAACACTTGTATGTAGTAAGTAGCGAAGATGGCTGTGTTTGTTTTGTTGTTGTTTCCAGTCATTATGCGTGATAGTTAAGTCACTTATTCTCAGTTGCTCAACATATTCATCATCATTGCCATCATTGCAGCCAAAACCATAGCTTAGATTGTTTGCAGTGACTGTAGATTTTATGTCTGCACTTTTCCAATCTCTAATGTCTGTTTTTGTTTTTGTTTTGTCGTTTTGTCTTTCATTTTGCAGCTTTTTCAAATCCACGGGTCCCGGATGTAGAAATCACGAGAATTTATTTTTCCTATGCTTGTCATGTTCTGTACATGGCATTTGTGTGTTTTTGTCCGTGGACAGTCATCGCAATACGTAGCATTGTTGCCACTTCATTGACAAAATGCTGGTTAGTATTAGCAAACGTCCAAAAATGTCTAATATCACTGTAAACGCAATGGAGCAATACCATCTTAAAAAAAAGAAAAAAGTGAAATCACCTTAATTTACAGACATGCTCATGTGTTGTGTCTGTGCAAATGTTATATTGCCAAGGGCAGTAGTGCAGCTTAGTAAATCATGACCAAAGAGCCATATTAGATCTGGCTGAACCAAGGTGCTGATTCTTAATATGACAGGAGAGAATTGGCGTCGTCTTGGTTAACCTGTGAGGAGCTGTCCCATCTGTGCTGCACAGGATTTGCATCATTATATTTCCTAATGAAGCAGCTATCCCAGTGATTTATGCAATTGTTGCCCAGTCTTTGACCACCGACTCTGCTGAAGTCCTGACAGTATTTCATAGTTGGGTACGAGGTTTTCTCATGACAAAAAAATCACATCGGTTGTGAAGAAAACCTGCCAGCAGCTGCTGGACCCCACAGAGCAAAAGTGTGTTAAATCACCCATATCAGCCTTATTTAGAGATGACTTCAAGCGTACTCAAGTAATTAAATCTTCACGAGCTCAACTCAAAGTCCACTAATTTGTTGCTCTCAGTCATTCAGGAGGGTGTGTGTTTGTGTGTTAGCATAGCCACTTCTTGGTTTGGACTGTGTAACTGAAGTAGGTCAAAAATGTGCTTGTGGGGACAATTTTACACTTTCTGGACATTACAAAGGTGCACACGCTGCACTGGTGAAAACACAAACTGCTCTACATTGTCGCCCACAGACACACACACACACACATGCGCGCGTATACACATATATCCCTTGTTTGTGCTGATGCATACCTGCATCACCTTGGACAACAGCAGTGTTGCTTCGGTCTGTTGCCATGGCTGGGATCCAGTTCCTGCTTTGGCCTCAACAGACTTAGAGACGTTGGTGTAGTCAGGAAAGGCTTAAAAAGCAGGCATGGAGGAGGAAGGGGGCAAGGATGAGTCTGGTGTACCACAGCTTTGTAATATTAGTGATCATATCCTGTTTTTGTTCCAATAAAAGCCCCACAGCAGGCAGATCTGCTGCAGTGCAGGTGTATGACTGAAAATAAAATGTCAAAGAAAGCCACGTGACTTTTAACAACCTCTGCTGTGAACATGCAAGAACCACACCACAGATCACATTTGAACTCATGCACGAGACTGTGGCCAATTTCCTTATAGCTCTTGGCATCACTCTGCAAATACACCACTCACATTTGGTGTTTATTAAACTTCAGGAGGTGCACTTAGTGAATGTTAGGGTGAAACCAAAAGGGTTATAGATTAGTTATAAAACAGCAGATTTTTAAAGCATGTAGATAAGAATTTAGAGTAGGTCTGCTATAGTCCAATATCACGCTGTAGCTTATAAGAAAACACTTTCTTGAACAGATGCTAACATTAAAATGCAACTCAGTACTTCTTGGATGAATAAATAAGTACATTTGTGGAGTAAGTGATGTAAGTTATTGGTCTGTTTTCAGCCTCAAATTAAGATTTGGTGCGCTTCTCAGATTTAACGCAAGCCCAGAAGGATTATTTCTGCCTCTGAGACTACAGCAGTCGTGTTAAGCATCGTCTGCCTGCAGCTTTAGTCTCACCTCCTGCTGTTTAGCTCCTGCAGCACACCTACTGACCAGCAACACACAGCCAACAAGTGTGCAGGGGTCACAAATTTGAGACAATCGAGAAATAAGATCGTGGTCGGCAACCTTTTTTTTTTTTTTTTCCCCCTCTATCTCCTAACATTTTGATAATAAAATCAATTTAACATAAAAAAAATAAATGGGATGTAAATACAATATTCCATGTTTGTTTTCCACTTATAGCACTGATCAGAAAACATATCCTCAACCTGTGGGATCCTCCCGATCCCTAATTAGGAGGATTAGCAGAACACGGTAAATGTTAAATGTGTAGTTAGCCTGCAGTTACTGCGTACGATACTCATAACAGTGATGTTGACAGAACAGAGAAGACCAAACGATTTCATTTCTTCTGCTTTTTTTTTCTCTTCTCTTTGTGGCTTTTAACTCGGATCATTCAGTGCCTTGAGTTCAAGCAGCAAAACAGACATGTCAGCATGATCGTAGCTGTTATTCCATGCGTTTTTAAGTGGCTGCTTTTAATATTTTACAGTAGATGGTTTACAATCTCACTTTTTGTTTTTACTGTAATTGTCTTCTCGTGCATTTACTGAGGTGTTC